GGGGGGGGGGGGGGGGGGGGGGAAGACTGATATGTTCTCAAAAGTTTATATCTGGCGAATCTGACTTTATAACATGCAATTATGAGTTTATATCCCACAACTCTGAGAAAAGTGTCACAATTGCGAGAGACAAACTCACATTTGCTAGAAAAAAGTCAGAATTACAAGATAAAAACTCGCAATTACCATTTAAAATTTTTTATTCAGTGTCAGAAATGGGCTTCCATAGCTTTCTGTTTTTACATGCATCTTTAGTGTTTTTCATAGTGTCGATTTTTGGCGAACTGCATGGAAATCAATGTGGTTCAATTTGACCCACAACATAAAAATTGTACCCAGTTTTTCAACAGCACAGGAGGGTTTGCTGCAGTTCCCCCAGGTCACTCACCAGTCATCAGACTCTCTTTAGCAGCAAACGCCAGGTCTCCAAACAGCCCAAAGCAGAGTCCCTCAGGATTGGCGCGGTCAACAGGTCTGCTGGCGTCTTTAAACATGTGCTGATACAGCGTACTGTCCTTGGACCCTGACAGCAGGTAGTAGGGGTCATGCTGGTGCCGCCACACGATTCCTGTGGTCACGTCTTTGTGCTCCTCGAAGGTCGCGAAGGGGATGAACGGCCGGCGGACGTCCCACACGTAGATGTTGTGGTCCACCATCATGGAGCAGGTGGCCAGGTGATATCTGCGCTCCGGACGCCACTTCACCCTGGCCACCGACGCTATGGTCTGAACGCAGTAGATCTCCTTCACGCGGTTGGTCGACATGTCCCAGACTTTCACCATCTTGTCACGTCCACCTGTGGCGAGCCAACCCCTACAAGACAGAGACAAACGTCATATATACAAAACAGAGCCAGAGAGATTCTGACTTGTTGGAATATGGGACAAAAAATGACTGAGCTACAGCCGTTTGAAGGCGATAGAGTCAGCAAAGATGATTTGGAGATAAATCGAGTGAAAGTTTTCTGAAGATTGCAAAGAAAAAATCACCAAGCAACGTTGCATATTTTCTTCCATTTCTTTTCTTAATAATTACTATACTATAAATCATAGCTATTTTTTATTTTATCTTTGTTATTAAAGACAAGAACAAAGATGCAAAAAACAGTAGTTTTAATCAAGAGCAGCGAGTGATTCCTCTATTCTTTTAATGTTTGATTAGATCTATATTAAGACCTCCATGTAATGCATGGATCTAACATAATGTTACACATCAGAATCTTCCCAAACCATTAACTTAACGGTCATGTAAGACATAACAGATTATGTTTGTGTGAATCTCGTCTAGACATATTTCGCAATAATGTACTTTACAGGGAGATTATGCACATGCTTTGCGAATGTTAGTCAGTGCGATCCTTTTGTTTTCATCAGCATGGGTTTGAAAAACATATTTCACTGGTTTGGACTCATGTTATCGAGAATTCAATATGAATATTCACAAAGCTGGAGCTTTGCAATAATAGACCTACAACTTGTGGTGAGAAGCAGCAGCAGTCGTCCAGAAGTGAGCGGAGAAAAAGATACTCCTCTCAGAAAACTTACAAATAAAGATCATTTTAGATGTTTAATTACTATTTGGAGCATTGAGATCACTAGAAGAGGGCTTAATGAACCAATTTTTGTGAAAACCTCAAATTCGACCAAATCTGACATTTTTCACTTCTTTTGCCTGTAGCTCAAAATTAGACGGTGTGCATTCACACTCATCTTGCCAGCACGGGTCACATGTGCAGATGCTGTAGTAAAGCCAGAGAGATGCTCATCTACCAGAAAAGGTGCTGACGCTCTCCTTCTTGCGCAGGTCAAAACACTTCATGAATCCGTCCTGAGAGCCAGACAGCAGCATGTTGACCTCAGTGGGGTGAAAACAGACTTTATTGACGGTGCGCTTGTGTTCGGTGAACAGCTGCTCCTGTTTGTTACGGCAGGGCCGCGCCAGATTCCACGTCACCACGGCTCCGTTAGTGGCGGCGGTGGCCAGCAGGTTCTCCTCCATCTGATGCCACATGACGTCCGCACAGCTGAAGTTCAGCGAGGGTTTGCGTCCCACGCGCAGGTTCAGCCGCTCCACGAAACCATCCTCCTCCAGACCGTAAATCTTGAAAATATTTCGCCCGGCAACCACCACCTGAAACATAATGTGATCAATCACAAGTTAACTGTATCTAATGACAGACTGAATATTAATTTACATACTACTAATCATTTAAATGACAAATAATTACTCAAATATATACATACTGAAACAATACATAAATTATTAATAATAATAAATATAAATAATAGTGCTGTCAAACGATTAATCGCATCCAATAAAAGTTTTTGTTTGCATAATATGTGTGTGTACTGTGTTTTATGATGAATATTTAAGTACACACACATGCACGTATATATATTTCAGAAAAATATGTTATGCTTATACATTAAATATATTTATTTATAATATAAATTATATGAATATAAATATAAGCATGTAAATACACGTAAATATTTTCAAAATATATACTGTATGTACAATATGTGTATTTATATATACATAATAAATATACACAGTATACAGTCTATACACATATATTATGCAATCAAAAACTTTTATTTTGGATGCGATTAATCGCGATGATTCGTTTGACAGCACTAATTAATAATAATAATAAATAGATTTAATTTAATTAACAAAACACTTAATTAAGACAATTAATTATTTAATTATTAATCATTTATATTAGTCATTGACAGATTGAATATTTATTTACATATTAATAATCATATAAATGACAAATAAATCACTAAAGTATATATATTTAAAATCAATTAATTTATAGTGATAAATATGAACAATAATAGATCTTTGAAAACTTAATGACAAATTATTGAAATTAAAATATTTAAAATAATTTGCATGGCAACCACCACCTGAAACATGTTGTGATCAATGACAATAGTATTTTGAATATTAATATTTATTATTGAGATTGAATTATTATTTATTGATATTAGTGATTGACCAATTTAATATCATTTACATATTAATAATCAAATAACTTGTGTATATAAATGATTACATTATATACAATTAAATTGTTCACATTATAAACAATAAATTAATAACAATAAATATAAATAATCATAAATTAATACATTTTACACATTAAAATATTTAAACTATTTTGCCAAGCAAACATCACCTGAAATATATTCTGATCAGTCAAAGGTTAACTACATCTTATAAAAATAGTATCCAAAAATAGTATTTTGAAAGTGAATATTAATTACCGGTATTAACAATTAATTATATTATTAATAACTGATATTAGTCATTGACAGATTCAATACTAACATGAATTTACATATGAATATAATATGAATTACAAAAATATATACATTTAAGATATTCAATAATAATAAATTAATAATAACACTACACATAAATGATTTAATAATGAATAAATGATAAATTATATAAATGTAAATACTGCTTTATTATAAATTATATAAATGTAAAGGTTATTGTAATAATTTTATATTGATCATTTTAGTCGCGTGAACCATCATAAAACAGATTTGAGTAGAAAAATTGAATTGAGCACTTTGGCTTGTGTTGTGAATATAATTTTCATCTCATTTTCACCTGCGTAGCATCCCGACACACGCTGATGGCGTTGGCAGGTGCATCCAGGTGGCAAAACATGGTACAGCCGCTGATCGTGCTGACCCTGGTCATCTTCTCCATCTCAAGCTGCAAAACCAAGAGAAAGAGAGCAAACAGAGGTGGAAACACAAAGAAAGAGAAGAGCTCTAGCTAAAACAGTTCCTTCTCTGGCCAGCAGGTGGAGGACAGATTCATCTTATGAATGAACATCTCATGGTGGCGATGTTAGGAGATGCATTTATATCTCCAGCAATTAAAGTCAAAACATACAGTAATAAAGTGAGAGGTTCACTCTTACGCTTTGTGTGCAAAGCCCGTTCTGTTGAGTTTATTTTTTTTAAATAACCTTTCTCTTGCTCATTCACTGACTCCACACCAAAACCTATGAGAAAATGAAGCCAGAAACAGCAAAAACATTTTATTGTTTATTATTTCACAAAAAAATTAATTATATATATATATATAATTATTCATTATAGATCATATATGTATAAGTAGATAATTGGATGTTTTTCCAAACAGTTTATTGTGTTAGAAGCACAAACATCTAAGGGAATTTTAATGCTACTCTTTAATTTAAGGCAACACACAATTCAGTGGGGGGTTTTTTTCATCTCACCGTCTGTTTCTCGCTCACAGCTCGAGCTAAAAATGACACCTCGCGTGACGTCACGCACACCTTCACCCGATCGCGGTTAACATCTTAATACAGAATCACACACACCGACCTGCAGAACACAAACAAAGCAGAAACAGAACAGCAGAAAACATAGCAGCAAAAAATTAATCAAAATAAATTAAATAAATAAATGAAATGTAAAAGTGATATCAGCAAAAAATTATAAAATAAATAATAAGTGAAATGTAAAAGTGATATCAGCAAAAAAAAAATAATAATAATAATAAAATAAATAATAAATAAGTGAAATGTAAAAGTGATATCAGCAAAAAAAATTAAATAATAATAATAAAATAAATAATAAATAAGTGAAATGTAAAAGTGATATCAGCAAAAAAATTTAAATAATAATAATAAAATAAATAATAAATAAGTGAAATGTAAAAGTGATATCAGCAAAAAAATTTAAATAATAATAATAAAATAAATAATAAATAAGTGAAATGTAAAAGTGATATCAGCAAAAAAATTTAAATAATAATAATAAAATAAATAATAAATAAGTGAAATTTAAAAGTGATATCAGCAAAAAATTTTAAATAATAAAATAAATAATAAATAAGTGAAATTTAAAAGTGATATCAGCAAAAAAATATAAAAATAATAAATAATAAATAAGTGAAATGTAAAAGTGATATCAGCAAAAAAATTTAAAAAAATAATAATAAAATAAATAATAAATAAGTGAAATTTAAAAGTGATATCAGCAAAAAATTTTAAATAATAAAATAAATAATAAATAAGTGAAATTTAAAAGTGATATCAGCAAAAAAATATAAAAATAATAAATAATAAATAAGTGAAATGTAAAAGTGATATCAGCAAAAAAATTTAAAAAAATAATAATAAAATAAATAATAAATAAGTGAAATTTAAAAGTGATATCAGCAAAAAATTTTAAATAATAAAATAAATAATAAATAAGTGAAATTTAAAAGTGATATCAGCAAAAAAATATAAAAATAATAAATAATAAATAAGTGAAATGTAAAAGTGATATCAGCAAAAAAATTTAAAAAAATAATAATAAAATAAATAATAAATAAGTGAAATTTAAAAGTGATATCAGCAAAAAATTTTAAATAATAAAATAAATAATAAATAAGTGAAATTTAAAAGTGATATCAGCAAAAAAATATAAAAATAATAAATAATAAATAAGTGAAATGTAAAAGTGATATCAGCAAAAAAATTTAAAAAAATAATAATAAAATAAATAATAAATAAGTGAAATTTAAAAGTGATATCAGCAAAAAATTTGGTTCACTCTTACGCTTTGTGTGCAAAGCCCGTTCTGTTGAGTTTATTTTTTTTAAATAACCTTTCTCTTGCTCATTCACTGACTCCACACCAAAACCTATGAGAAAATGAAGCCAGAAACAGCAAAAACATTTTATTGTTTATTATTTCACAAAAAAATTAATTATATATATATATATAATTATTCATTATAGATCATATATGTATAAGTAGATAATTGGATGTTTTTCCAAACAGTTTATTGTGTTAGAAGCACAAACATCTAAGGGAATTTTAATGCTACTCTTTAATTTAAGGCAACACACAATTCAGTGGGGGGTTTTTTTCATCTCACCGTCTGTTTCTCGCTCACAGCTCGAGCTAAAAATGACACCTCGCGTGACGTCACGCACACCTTCACCCGATCGCGGTTAACATCTTAATACAGAATCACACACACCGACCTGCAGAACACAAACAAAGCAGAAACAGAACAGCAGAAAACATAGCAGCAAAAAATTAATCAAAATAAATTAAATAAATAAATGAAATGTAAAAGTGATATCAGCAAAAAATTATAAAATAAATAATAAGTGAAATGTAAAAGTGATATCAGCAAAAAAAAAATAATAATAATAATAAAATAAATAATAAATAAGTGAAATGTAAAAGTGATATCAGCAAAAAAAAT